TTCCTGCACGCCCCCTACTGGAGAACGAGCCTGCAACTGGGATGTGCCCTGACCAGAATTAAACCTTGACCTCCTGGTTCCTGGGTCAATGCTCAACCACTGAACTACCCCCAGCTGGGCTATACACATATTTTAAATGTGGATTATATGTATCATACATGTAACATGTAGCACATATGCACAACACATGTCTAAGATCAACACTATACTTGTATCTTCTGGCATTTTGAAGGGTTAAATGTTTATGTATTTAAATTTTTTATTGCTTTTAGATATTGTGACTTTTTAACAAAGGCCTTTCACAACTCATATCTGATAGAGCAATTTATCCTGATCTTCCAAATAGATGATTTTCCACCATCAATTTGTCAACTCCCCCATCAAAAAACAAAACAAAGCAAACAATAACAATGGTAAATGAAATAACAGTTCATTGACTCTGTTATTGGGATTACATGAAATTATTTAGGCTATTTTGGAAGGAATTTATATCTTTACAGGATCAATCAATTTCATATTAGAAGATGATATATTTCTCCATTTCATTAAATATTTTTAAATCACTGTTGGAGATACAACTAATAAATGAAAACCTCTATCTATTTAATGTATACAACTTGATAAGTTTGGAGACAAGTATACTTCCATGAAATCTCACCACAATCTATGCCATAAGTATGCAGGTCCTATAGCAAGAATAATTTTCTTGTTATAGGTTATTCACATTTTTGTAAGGCTATTTCTACGTAATCTATCAGTTTTAAAATTGCTTGATTTCCAAAGTGTCCTGGTAGTGCCAAAGTAAATGCACCCACTACACTTTTGGAAATAGGGGATGATGATGATGATGATGATGATGATGATGAGAGTAGCTAGCAGATAGCATTTACTATGTTCCAGGCATTTCTCTAATCCCTTTACATGTAATTATTTCATTTAATATTCACAACAATCCTATGAGATAATTATTATTATTATCTCCATCTTACAAATGAGGAATTAGAAGCACTGAGAGGTTAAGCAAATTTCCCAAGGTTCCATAAGTAAAAGGTAGCAAAGACTGGATTGAAATTCAGGGTGTCTGCCTTTAGAGCCTGTGTTTCTAACATATTACTATGCAAAGAATGTAAAGGACGCTTTTTAAAAAACTTTCTGACAATACATTCTTATAAATAACTTTTTGGTTTAGTTTTTCTCCCATCTTCTTCTTGCTACCCCTTTTCTACTCCCCTTTTCTTTTGGAGGCATCTGGATTAGCATAGGTGATCAAATTCATTCACAGTATTATGATCACTTATGGCATGAGTCTATTTGTAGGGATGCAGATAGAAGGTGTTTTTACATTTATTTGGAAGCATCAGCCTTTCCTTCTTTTACTACACTACTCTGAGTAAGTGAGTTCTATTAAAGGGAAAGCATCACCACACTTGGATAGATGTATGTACACTTTGACGTTCCCAACTCTTGAGCATTAAGTCTTCAGGAAGGAACTGAGAGTGGTTTAGAAAGCTAGGACTATATCACATAATTATGTTGCACACCCTAAACTAATACAATGTTATATATCAATTATATCTTAATAAAAATTGAAAAAATAAAAATAATAAAGCTAAGAATGGAACTTTTAAGAAAGTATCTCATTCCAATCTTTGAGATTCCAACACTCTACTTAAAGCTGAAAAAGATGTAGCAAACAAATCCTTTTGTATTTCCATGGGGATGTTGTCACTTTTCTTGAAGATTATCTCATTGCTCTAGTTCCCTGGATGCAGTGTTTTCATGGGAACATAAAGCTCAAGTAGTTTTGGTTTTTGGATAAGTACCCTTCAGAGCCTCAGTCTCCTTGTGAGCACTAGATATTTCTTAGTTATCAGTATTCTTTGCTATAAAGGAATAAAAGAAAGGGGCCATGGTGTGATCTGTAGTTAAGATTTAGTATAGCAGGTTAGGAAGTATTCTAATCCTTCAGGCCCCTACTCTAACATACAGTGGTATGGATGTTATAGGCGAGGAAATGGAGTTTTTATATTTTAAACCACTCTCCTGGAAGTTTGGCAATTTCTAAGGTATACCGAAACATTGGGGTGACAAATTGCCATCGATAATGATTAATACAAGTAACTCTAGAGCAGCGGTTCTCAATCTGTGGGTCGCAACCCCTTTGGGGGTCGAACGACCCTTTCACAGGGGTCACCTAACACCATCAGAAAACACATATATAATTACATATTGTTTTTGAGATTAATCACTATACTTTAATTAGTTCAATTTGTAACAATGAAAATACATTCTGCATATCAGATATTTACGT